AGCCGTTTTTTCCGCTTGTCCTCTTTATTTGATAAATTTTTTCATTTGATAAATAATTCAAAAATTAAAAACATTCAGAAGTGAATAATTAGACACTCGACTTTCCATGATTTGATAATGTTTTAAATTCTTTTTCATTACATCATTATTTTTATTGACGCTACTACCTTATTCATTATTAAGGTCAATATGCAAAGACCATGAGTGATCCATTTTTGGAGTATCCATTTTTTGTTTTCCTTTTCAGCTCTGCGACATCTATAAGCGAACAATTTTGAAATAAGATTTGAATCAGAAATTATTATCGAATTTTTCGAAAAAATCATCAGATACAAGGGAAAAATCGACAACAGGTTCAAATTAACGTTTAAAGTTTTATATTTCTATTTTTACTATGAAGTTGAGGTCTTATGAAAAGTTTAAATATGTGATTTTTAGATGGTGTCTGAATATATGTATGTGATCTTTATTTTTTTTTGACTCCATCCACTGACATCAATTCGCCGTCTCCTAATGAAACAGGCCTATTTCAATTTTCTCTTTAAAACAAGGGTATCTTGAAATTCCTGCTAAGACTAGGGTATCTCAAAATTAATGTACGAACTCATTGTTCACATCCATTTTTAGGTCTCGTCAAGTTCGGAAATCATTTTTCGTAGCGATTCAAAAACATACTTTTCTTAAAATCGGTGTTTCATCGATCATTCAAAAAATTGTTATTATAAAAATGAAATTAATCAAGTCTTAAAGAGTTGATTTTAATACCCTCTTGATTCTATCAAAATATAATGAGAATAGCATCATTCGTTGTTGAGTTACAGTACAGTGTTTATGCGAATTGAAAGAAAAAATCTGTTTTTTCATAATTTGTAATCGAACAATCAGTGATATCAATTAAATCAGCGATGAAAGAATTTGTTTCACGGCCTTCGTAATCAAGTTGAAAGATTGTGAGAATAGCATCATTACTTATCAAGTCGTACAATAGCATCGAGAACTTTTTGTATCAGAACCTATATTAAAGTCAGGTATCAATCTATTTTGTTGAATACTTATTCATATTGATTCATGATCCCGATTCACCCCTGATTAAACTCCGATTGAATCCCGGCAAAATTTTGACTTAACCTTGATTGAAGCCGGGTCAAATACCGACTAAATCGCAATTGGACCTTGATTAAACAACTGATTGAAACCTAATACGAGTATTAGGAGCACCTGAATATAGAATCATTTGAAAGATTAGTACATTAGAGTACAAGGGCACAAATTTCGTTTTCAACGAATGTGTAGTTTACAGGCGAGGTCTGTACACAAATTCGTTGAAAACGAAATTTATTACCGAGTGCTCTATAATATTTTATGTCAAGTCGTGCAGAAGTCGAGTTTTGAGCAAGCTGCGCGAAGCGCAGCGTGCGATAAACTCGACTTATTGCACGGCGCGACATAAACGAAATAATACGCAAAAATTGTGGTGGCATTTCAATTTATGCTGATACTATGGCATATATAGAGAAGAAAAGATTAGTAAAATAGAAATTTCAAAGGAAACAGAATTCATTCAGAAGCGAATTGTCTAGTCATTAGCATCAAAAAACTATACTAATTTTCAAAAAACGCGATTACACAGTTTTTTTTTTTACAAATTTTCGGACTCGTTGAATGAAAACGAAGAATTTAGAGCCTAAACCATTTAATTACACGGAGCGTCTTTAAGGATATCTAAGTCGTTGGGACAATTTTCTCGGGAAAATAATTTTCACAGTTAATACAATAGACAAAGCGTATTTTTTTGGCAAAACATAAACCTTAGTTTCCGTACATTTCCGTATATTTTTTCGGGAAAACTATTTTAAAAAAATGAAATTCAACACATTGCTTCCATAAGAACTGTATACTCCCACACAGGTAGAAAAGCTAGAAGGATATAGTTACTGTTAAAAAGACTTCTTAATTATTATTTATTATTAATTACTGAAATTGGCCTCATTCAATCATCACTAGTGCATGATTGTTTGTTGCTCCTCATCTTTATAATTGTTCAATTTTTCCCATTTTCTGGTCAATTGAATAATTATGATAATAATAACACGCGATTATTAATTCTCTCATCGGCAATGTCTTTGACATGGAATATCACAAAATCCGATTCGCCTTGTCGATCAATTACAAGAGCGGTGACGGGGCTGTCGAGGAGCGAGGCCAGTAACTGCCTGACGTTATATGATCATCAGGTGTCTCAGTAATTTGCCGCGACTACGCTCTGACGCTCTTTCATAAAAAAATTCGTGAACCAGCGAGCAAAGAGGGTGAGAAAGTGGGAGAGGGACAAGAATTCCTGGAGGCTACATCTAGAAATACCCAATATTAAATCTGATCGACACACGTAACTCTTCGTCAGAGGTTCTGATGGCAATCGTTTAACATTTCTGTGTCACGCAAGTTTGACATGCAATGGTAAAACTTATATTAACTTCTGTTCCCCATTATGAATGTAAGAATGTGTGATAACTGTAATTGACATTTCAACATTTAGTTTTCACCACGTGATTTAATGATTTGTAATAATCATAATGGAAATTGGAACATTAAATAAAATAAAGTGTGAATTTTCCACTTCGGAAATCGGTCACCTGGGAATTCGTATTTACTCGCAACGAAGAGAGAGAGAGAGAGAGAGAGAGAGAGAGAGAGAGAGAGAGAGAGAGAATGCAATTTGATGGCGCTATGATATTCATTAAGTGATAGCTCCCCCGCAGCCCATTGAACCGATCAAGTGCAATCGTAAAATTACACAGTGGTATCGAGGTACAGCAATGACTTGGCTTTCCCTCTGTACAACGTACAAAAAATTCTGAGGTGGTACCCATAAGTGACACTCATCAACGCTCTGATCCGACACTTCTCATTATATTATAGATATACACGAAGTTTTTTAGAATATTAATGAATTTCTCACCTCATAATTTTTTTTTATTTTTACTTTTCTCCATTTCGGTAAGGGAGAGAATATATTGTAAGAATTGTAACACTGGCAGGTCATTTCAATAAGTACTTAAAGCGATTTGTCTGAAGACTGATCAATCTGTCTTTCAATCTGGCACCTTTTTTATGGTAACTGATACTCATTTTCTCATCTTACATTCAGTTTCTGGGTAATATAATCCACCCTTGATACTCCACACCTAACCGTCCACTCCCGTATTTTTCCTTTCTTGCTATAGGCCTTCCAGTGGAGCCTTTTCCTTCGTTTTCAGGAGTGGGAGACACGGATACAAGTGGAAATCATGTAAAGGAGGAGTGCCCACCGAAGGAAAACCTTATACTGGAAGACCTATACTGGAGCCCACCTTCCCCCACCCTTTCTCCCTCGCTCACACTGTTGTACCTAGTAATTTTCTATTTCGAAAAATGAAGGATGTCGAATGATAAAACACATTACTATTTCCCCATAAGTAAATGTTCATTAACAATCAACTGATCGGATGAAAAAAAAAGCAATGAAAAAGAAACATCAGTAAAAAAAAGTTGAAGAAAATTTCGCGAGGAAGTAAATGTTTACTTACGATAATATGCATTATTGATAATTTACCTGGAGAGGATGAAAATCCTAGGCAATCACAGCGTAACGGCGTGGCGATGCTGACATGGCGCCCTCCGATATAACTGTGCCTAACGGGACTAGAACACCCGTACAGTGGGCTTATAGACGTTGTACAACGTTAGGGGCGATAACAAAAAATCGCTCCGACCTCGGGGAATACCTCTCTAGGACTGGCGGCTGGTGGAAAGTGCCTCCAACCAGCCCAACTCTCATCCACATATATACATCTGTATTTTTCTCTTTTCTCCCTACCTGGTTGCTGGTGCGCTATTGATCTCGTCCCAGACACCCCAACGATCCACGCAGACGCTTAACGTTGCCGCGTCGCTTTAGCAACGTGACGTCATTCACCACCACCCCCCAGGATACATTCCTCCTCTTTTCCCTCATATGTTCTCCGCTACTTTTCGCCATCATCATCATCTCTCCCTTCCACGAATCTGTCTTTCTCTTCCTTCGGCACACAACCTCATGCCCTCCTGCTCTCGCTTCAACCCTCATGGACATTGATGGTTTCGATAGGCATAGGAAGACGACCGAGATACCGATGCAAAGGGCAACACTGGTCCAGCACCACACATGCCTCCCCCCGCGCCCTTCTGACTGTTGACATCCTCCATTCTCTAATCGGGATGCCAAATACACTATTGTTCGTGCATTGGGAACAGTTTGGTGGAGATCATTCCAATGACATTCAGTGTAACTCTCAGCGTCCCGTCAAATGTGTACCAGTAAGGCCAATAACTCTGGATAGGATACAAATCACCGCAGCTAATCACTTTACCTTTTTGCGCTTTGACATTAAAACGTTATGCTTCTTCGTTTCATTATATTTTTCTTTTGTTGTTTTCCCTTGTTGTATTTTCATGAGTTTTGGAATTTTATATTTGGGGGGTGGTGGGAGGAGGGGGAGTAAGAAAGTGCTGCGATCTGCGGAATAGCAGCAGCTTATTTCTATATTTTACAGGGACGTATTTTTGAGAACCCTTGCATATTACATATGATTCTCAGCGTGTCACAAGTGCCACCCATTAGATTTAACGAGTGTACCGTTATTTTACTTTTTCTCTTTTTTGTTTTTCAAGGTATAAAGTGCTTGCGCACATGTTCCACCGGGGTTTTTGTTATCCACCGCCCTCGCGACCATTTTTTATCCACGATGCGTTACCACCCCATCCCATCTCCTATCATGCTGACGGTCTCATCAGGAGGGGGTAGAAGGGGTTTCTTTTTACAATTTTTTTACATTTTACCACTACGCCCGGTTGCCACGGGGCGACAAAAAGATCCGAAAACAAAGTGAAAACATTGAGTCTAAATGAGAATCCACTGTGCCTACTTTTTCATGGGAATAGGAGAAAAATAGTGGCTGCATCTTGAAACTTATTTTTTCATTTTACTATTCAACGATTCTTGCAATTATATTAGGTCAAGGAGGAAGGTGATAAATAAATAAGAGATTAATTTTTGATTGTTACAAAAACCTTAGTATTAAAATATTCCAATAAAACAATAAATAATTCATCATGATTATTTCTTTCATTAATCACCCTAAAATTAAATAGAATATTCGGCAGTGTATTAACATGCTAGTGTTCTTTCCATTTTTTCAATTTTCTTTTCATTCTCTAGCAAATGCCTACATGACAACTATTTGTCGCTTTATTTGCATTTTGTTCTGATGTTTAAATGTTCTTTTTTTATAAGAAGTCTTTGTATCTTATTTCGTTCAAATCGCACAAGCGTCTGAGATTCACTTCACACTTGAATCTATTCATAATATTTCCTAATTTGATGGTGATTCAATCATGTTAACTGCATGACACGCAATTTCGCCGGTAGTACTTGAAAACCTTTGGACATACTGTACGCTCCTACTTTTACATGCTTTTTCCCTTTCTTCCTATTCTAGTCTGATTCATTCGGTCTTTTTCACTCTTTTTCTACACTCAAGTAATTAGAATATGAACACATCAGTCATTTTATTGATCATCAAATGAATGTGACAAATCGTACTAAAGGAATATTATATTTTCCTGTGATACAACGTTCTGCAACGAACACAAAGGTTTCTCATCTCATTTTATCTCCTTCTTAATGAATACTTAGAAACTAATCATTGCATCAGTCTCTCTCTAAAGGTAATTCATCCCTCAATGTAATAGTGCTGCATTTGTATATCGAAATAAATACCCATAAACAATGAGTAATATGGGGGGGAAATTCTATCGGTCAAATAATTTTCAAAAATTAACTACCAAAAGAGGACAAAACGCGTAAATAAAAAATAGAACATAAAAATATTACCTTAAAGTTTTTTCCTACTGTAACGTCTTTTCTCAAAAATGGGCATAAACGAACTTCAATATTCATGAATCGTGAAATAGAAATTCATATTCTCGTTTGAATGCGAAAAAAACATGAAAACAATGGACTAAAGATGCAATTCATTTTAATAAAAAACGAACAACGAGTTTGTTTACGGAGTTATGACTGCTCGCCATTCGATGGCCAGTGACCGCAATTATTATGCCAATCCCAGTCTTTTCCCTTTGGTCGAAATTTACTAGTACTACCCGAGTTATTCCAATCGCGATGAAAAAATTTTTTCTTGAAATGGTGACGTTCAGGATCCTGCTGACGTTGGTATTTCAAGGGTACTGATGACGACGTACTATTATTTGATGCATTGGGTGGACGTGGACTCGTGGGTGATGGTGTTCTCGGTGGTCCGAGTGCTTCATCGGGCGATGGAATAACTGGTGGTGGACCAATTGCAGCATCAGATCCAAGCCCACTGTCCGGACTCGTATTAACCCCTTCAGTTGATCTTCGACGTTTATCGAGCTCTGTCGAAGCAAATGCGACCAAACGATCGAAACCCGAACTTATGCGATCTTGCCAATCTGCTTCACCGTCTGAAAATTCCGTTGCCAACATATTTTTTCCTAAACATGTCATATTTTATATTCATTGTATACATGTTTGTCTATAATTATATATGGATGACTATTGAAGTTTTCATAAAAATAAGCCAATTTATCTACTAGATATTCCATGCACAATTGTATGTAAACACCTACATTACTACAGTAACAAAAGTAAAGAAGAATTTATTCATTTTTTTTGCCATTCGTAGAATGGCTACCTTTGGCTTTGAATGCGTCAGTCGCTCTCCTTGGATATAGGTAATGTTTAATGAGTAAGACGTAAATACTATTTTTTGTACTCTGATAATTTTGGCTTATTTTCATGTGAGTTTGCAACTGATTTCGACGAATGGTATTCTCCAAGATTTTTCCATTAAAAAAACGGTTATAATTTTAATTGCATAAAATCAGAGGATTGTGAGTTAAACAGTAAGTATGAAATAATAATTGAGAAAAAATTTTGAAGAAACCTCTTTGGGAAAACTCACCAGGAGTCACGAACCAACCCAAAGGCAGCCATATCTTTCTGATTTTCCCCTCTGATCTGTGCGCCTGAATCGCTAACAAAACAAGCCTCGGGGACTTTTTCATCTTTTTTTTTCATTCATTTTTATAATTTTTTAAAAACCCAGATCCCGAGTTTTTTGCAACTGAGAGAGACGATGTGTTTTTTTACCAATAAAACAGCTACAGTGCATCTAACAAATACAACCAACAATAATTGAAAAAAATGAGATAAATATACAGGAAAAGAAAATAGAATTAGAAAACCAAATCCACTGTGAAAATTCATAGATCTAATAACAGAATTAGTTGTCAATTTTCATGTGGAAAGAGATACGGATGCATAGAAATGAAAAATTCTAATTGAAAGCAAGCCTCAATTCCAATCATCGCAACATTTGAAACGGTCACCACATTGAAAAGATATCTCGGAGACAGTCTTGAGAAAAAAAATTAAAAGAAATTAAATGACAACTTGAAATAAATAGAGGATTAATTATTGACATTACATTGCCAATGTTAGCGATACATACCATCATCACCAATGCCATTTCTTTGTCTTTGATTGCTCATCTGAGGCTCGTCAACAAGAGGTGTCGAAGTATTAGAGTGTGGTTCAACGGGTGGACTGAGAGGTGCACCACTAGTGCTAACTGATGAAACACTCGTTTCATTTTTCATACCAGGAGGTTGAATTTGGGGCGATGGTACCCTGTCACTAGCAGTGTTGTACCTAGGATAGGGGGCATATCTTCGACTGTTTGGCTCATTTTTTCCACTGTGATTATTAAGTATTCTAGCGTGGAGAGAAGCAGCGAGTCCCTCGACAGGTACATCACCATTGACTCCTTGAGATGAATGAAGTGAAGCTGTGGGCTGCGTTGTTTGTGTCTGATTTATTATGGGCGGATTATCAGCAAAGTATGATTCATGATAGGGTTTAATGTCAGCCCTTGGCAGTTGTACTGGTGTGTAACGTTGATTTTGATTAGCCGGTGTGAATAAAACTGATGATCTCGATGGTGTGGTTGTGGGTGTAGTTACAGATGAGGAAGTTGGAGCATAACTGGCAACATGTGCCAATGTGGCAAGTCCAGTGTCACCCTCAGCACTTGCTGGTCTAGAAATTGGTGAATAAACAGTCTCTGGTCTTATGATACCACTCATGTCGACTGCAGCATTTATAATCGACTGATTCGATATTTCGAGGGTTCGTTCAATTTCACCACTCACTAAATCTCCAATGGTTCTTGTTCCAAGCAATCCATGACCAGGGGCATTTGCTCGAGGCTCAGAGAGTTGTTGACGACAGTCTACCGGTCTCTCGGTTGATATATGAGAGGTCAAACGTTCTTGAGACAGGTGACGACGAAGGGCCAGCTTCGCTGGGGATACCTGTGTATAATCTGGAGCTGGAGCGTTAGGAGGTAGTGCTTGACGTTTTCTATCAGGCTCTGAGGATTGTGATGAGGGCGATGTCATTTGAGCCATCTGCTGCTGCTGCTGCTTCGTGCGATTTTGCTGATCTTCGTTCAATACACTCGTTATTATGCTCTTCAACCGATCTTCAAAATTTGCCACTCTCGGCGGTTCCTGACCACGATTCGCTTGTTCTCTCGGTGGATTGTGAGAGGGGGAAAAATTGTAGTTTGGTTGGGGCAAACGTGGCCGATTGTTGGAAGGGTTTGAGGATGAATTATGACGGCTTGGGATCCTTCCAGCTTCAATCTGACGTCCAGTTTCTAGGATTTTTTGGGCAAGAATCTCTGGATTATTCTCCTGTATTTTGCCTATATCTGGAACGTCCGGCCATTCTTGGGAACGTGAGCGAGTATCACGGTGTTTGCGAGACGATGTTGATTTTCCGTTGTGCTGTGTATGATGATTCTGAGAGTGTTTGTTGGATAGGGATTCTCGCTGTTGCTGAGAGAGAACTGCTTGCTTTTCCGTCGTTGTACGCTCAAGAACATTCAATTCGTGCTCAAGTTTTGATACCTGTATACAACAATTTATTTTAGTTATTTTAATATCTTTATATTTAATGTCAAAATAATGAAATGATTTGACGAGTGATTGAATCATATGAATTTTAAATAATTTTAAACGTACAAAAGCGACCTGAGATCATTTAGCAGATAACTTTTTCAACAATCCGAATAAACTTTCTCACTTAGCAAAAATTAAATTTTCTTAATTCATCTCATTTTATATCAATTCATCATTGAAATCATCTCCAGAAATTCAATTGAATATGAATTAAGACATTTGTAATCTATCAAAATAATCATTAAATTTCGAATTAGTTTAGTTGAATACGAAGAAAAGAGAAAGTAAACTTGAGAATAAAGTTAAATAAACAAGTGAAATAAATATGTTGGAAAGTTACCTGTGAATGTAACTTCTTTCTCTGCGAGAGAGTCTGTGAAATTTCTTTAAGAATATAATCAGGCGTTAATACCGCTGGTGAATTCTGAAGATTATATTTCTCTTGAATCTCTTGATGCCTCTGTGCAGCAAGTCGTGACTGTTCAGTCTCCATCGATGACACCTGTGCCTGAAGCTTACTGGCCTTAGCCTGCAGCTGCTTGTGCCTCAGCACGATCTCTTTAGCTTTGGCAAGCAAATCACCAGGTGACGTTGCATTTATCCCTAACTCAGTCATGCGTGCTTTAAGTAATGCTACACTATCATCGATTAACACTTTAATTTGCTTTTCCAATTGTGCAGCACGTGATTGTAATTTTGAATTACGTTCTCGTTCTTTAGTGAGATCAGCAGTAACGGATTGTTTATAGGCTGGTGTTCTCATGGACTCAAGGGTAAGCATAAATTGGTCCCTGTAGAGATCGAGGAGTATCTGTAATGCATAAGGTGTTGCTGATGGTGCTGGGGGGATGCTAAGCTCCTCGTGAACTGAGGTAGAATGTGGCTGGAGAGACAGCGAAAGGGATGAAAGATGTTGATCAATACAACCCGGTGCTGGAGGTAATTTCTTCCCAATAGCTTGTGGCGAAGTACTTAACAGCGTCTGATTATGCAGCAAATCTAACCCAGATATGTTAATTGCCTTCTTCGGTTTACTCTTCTTAACAGCTCTACCACGTTGCCTACCCCTTGTTGCTTGTTGTCTCACAATGGCCGGTCCCGCCACTTTTTTGTTCAATTTCCTATGGATCTTTGTTTGACGTCTACTCTTCATATTTTCATCAACGTCTGAATCACTATTTGTACCCACTAATTCATTATTATTTGGACTCTCTAGTTGCCTCGAAAGATCCCTCTTTGCTCTCTCACCTCTGTCTGATCTGACCGATATTTTACTATGGTTACTGGCAGTGTTGTTTATCACAGAATCAGTATTTTCAATATCTGCTCCACCCAGTCTGTTGTTTTTCAATCGGTGAAAGTAACGCTCAAGTTTTGTTCTGTCGATCACGTGGAGATAATAAGACACGGGTTTGCCGGTCCAAGAGACTGAGCCTTTCAGTGGAGTCATTTCAGATACGTGCATTATGGTACCAATGTCTGTAGGTAAAAAATATCCAAGGTGTGATCATCTCAGTAACGAGTGATTTTAGTAGAAAGTGATGGAAAAACATAAATACGTACTCAAAAATTAAATAAATAAATAACAATCACGTTTCAGATGCTTTTCTTTCTTTCAAAGAGATAGAATTTTACGTACCACTCAAATTTCGATCTGTAATTCGGAAATTCAACGGGCAGAATGATTTCGACGAGACAATCCGAGCTCCATCACGTAAATCAGCAAAGCGTTCTTTTAGTTGATGATCAACAGTTGGACCAAATGCAAAATTATTGACAAATACTATTGTTGCACTAGTAATACTTTCGCGGTGCTCGTCTGCGAGGAAATCACCTTTTACAAGACGATAATCTCCGCATCGTTTACCATACCAGTTTAGCCATTTGCGAAAATTTGTTTCCATACCCTGAAACATTGAAATGAAGAAGATGTTTCAGGGAGAAGTTATCGTATTAACTGAGTAATATGGGATTAATAATTCAGTATCGGGGTTTTCTACAACAAAAAAGAGAGAAAAGAGCAGTATTTTAATCGGGCCAAGACGTGAGGGCTTCTCTCCACCTTATGAAATCAATGTCTTCTTGAAAAATTTAAATAAAAAGGTTCTCTTACACATTGATTCCTTCTTGACATCCTCTGGATGAAATATTTAAGCGCTTTATGTACATTATTATAATCAAGGACTCGAAAAATGACGATGTAAATATGTATGTACGAAAATGACGATGTCATATATCATATACATTTCTGTACTTTTGCAACTTTTTTTTTAGCTGAATAAACCGAATGGTTTGATTGTTATAAATAAAAAAAAGGAAGCAGTATGTTGATCAATTGAACGTGAACATTGTTATCAGCACCTAAAATTTGTGGTAGAAAACTCAAATGAAAAATTTACCTGTAGATCATTTTACAAACATGTTGGAAATTGGGAGCTTCGAAGAATTACATCAGGACATGTTTTTCATAGTTTTATCAATTTTCCTCAAGGAAAAACAGCTTTATGCTTTTTTCCTCTACATTACCACCTTAGTATTTGATTGAACACCCGAAAAATTTGTAAAAGTATCCTCTTTGTATAACAATTCTCACCTGTGCATAACGTGAAGGCACATCAGCTCTCTCAACGCCAAGGCAAATTTTACAAACAGTTGCTGCAGCCATTTGTAAGACAACTTGTCCAACACCCGAGCCCAAATCCACAAAAACATCATCCTCAGTTATCTCAATCTGATCAATCATCTGACAAACAAGTTCATAACTCGTTTCTCCATATACCTCTGGTGAAAACGGCTCATACTGATTGAGCTTGTCAGGCTCAACAACAGCTTGATTGTATGTTTGTTGGAGAATATGACGAAGTAGCCCTCTAGTTGGACGTTTATTCAGTCTCTGTGAAGGTAAACTGGTTCCCTTTTCCTATAAGCAAAACCATAACTCAAATGTTTTCATATTATGCCAACAAATGTTGGTAATAATACTCACGAGTTGGACGAGACTGTCAATAGCCCTATTGAAACGATCGCAGAGGGCTTTCATGCTCTCAAAATCCCTTGTATCATATTCAACGAGTATATTATTTTCCAACGGCAGTTTTAAATCTGGCAGATCTTCACACACCCATCTCATCGTTTCCACAACGTCCAGTGCCCCATCATGACGATCCTGATAAAGCACGTAAACATTAGTAAATAACCTATACAACAATTTCACCCCACGAATTTGCTTCAAAATATGGTGAAAGCGAGCAACTCAACAGGCTCTTCAACTAACTAGAATAATCTCGTATTTATCACTTATAAATAAAATAAAAAATGAAAATTCTGTTAACCACATCTGTTCCTAATCTACATACATACATCCAAGGTTCACTGACACGTGCCCACCCTTCTGTTCCCACAATTATGTAAAAATCATGAAACAGCAAACAAACATTAAAAAAATAAATAAATAAACTCACAGAACCCGATCCAGAGGTAAGTGGCCACTGATAAACGATGGGCTCGGCTCCCGCTGGTGAATGTAATCTCAACTCCATAACTCGATGGAAATCGTTCAATAGAACTCAAAAAGTCCCCCGTTTAAATATGAGAATAATCCAAAATATGGATAATAGCAGACGGTGTACTTTGTATTGCCGTCAAAAATAATAATATGTATGAGGCGGGTGTATGTTTTTTTTTCTCTGCTTAATCGAGAGGTTCTTTTCTTTGAGTGATGTAACCCAGTTGGGAAAAGTCCTCGTTAAATTGTTGCCGTTGTGTTTCTACTTTTATTATGGTTTCCTTTCTCGCATCCTCTAGGATTCTACCACCACGTAGACGAGGACGCTGGCGGACTCCCCCCGCTCCGCCGTCGCTTTCCCGAACATCAAGCACCTCAGAAATACTTCAATTTTTACGTTTTACACCTGACGCCTTCGCCTCCTTGGCTCAAATTATTTGCCCACAACTACTCGAATAACACAGATGAATAACATATCAATTAATAGGACTAGTTAATTATTATTGAGAGTTATGGATGAACACACACGTAAAATTGATGAAAAATAATTACGTGGAAAAAACGGCCTGAGAACAGAGAGAGGAGCCCACAAATGGCATTAAAACCGCACGACGGAAAACACTAGCGGAATGGTGATTACAGGGGGGTACAGGGGGAATGACGACATCAAAACATGGCGTCATGGACTGTCGTTTCTCCACGGGATCTCTCCTTCGATGCCTATGCCTCTTTACGCTTGTGCGCATGCGCAGCAGCCAGCCATTGAACCTGTACAATTTCTCTCTCATGATGTTGATACTGTGTTGATACTTTCAGGAAAATTGATCAAAAAGAAATAACGCTTCTGCTATATATGTATATATATGCGGGCAAGGCAGAATATTGAGGAGAAGTGGACAGGTTGATTTTCACCCATGAACTCAAAAATTCATATAATTCTGCGTGAATCACGAGAATTAATAATTCTACGGTTTTTTCCTTTTTTTTTGTCGGATTGAGAGAAATATTGTGATGAATTTTTTCCGGGGCCCTTTGGAGCATGGAAAACTTTAGACTACGTGAGATTTGTCATGTACCACGTGTACATGCAGAGAACATAATCTACACTTTGAAAAAATTGCATTCTCTTGGAATCAACAGGATGTGTTTGTTGTAACCAATATGAATTTAATTGGCATTAGTCTAATATCATTATCGGAAAAGAATTTTGAATTTTGAGATATATTTGTTAAACTATTAGACAAATAAGCCTCATTTTTCTAGCTGATTAATAAACATATGAAGGAATCTACGGGTGGCTTATTTGAATCAATGATTAATGTATATTATTATTCCATGATTTAGTCTTGTCTTCTAAACTAAGAAATAATTGTTAAAGACTACTAACATTTGGCGCCGTCAAAGTCGCCCCCGTTATATCGCACACCCCTTCAACATTTTTGCGCATACGCTCCTGAGAGAGCCTCGTCTCGTCCAATTTATTGAGACAATATGGACGCCCGATAGGGAGGCACTTGCCTGTCAAAAATTCATCCCTATTCTATCACGCTGTGGAAGTTTTTTTTTAACATTTTCCTTTTGTATAATTGAAATTTTGAAAAACGTCAATTATTTATAAAAATGTTGACCGCAGCAGCAAGTACGTTGTCCAACAATACTGGTGGGTCTTACAGCAATGATAGGCCTTCGGAATCAGAACTTGGCACAGATCCGGCTTCTGGCGGATTCTTTCACTCTGATTATAAAAAGTAACTATTAGAAATGATTTTCAAAAAATAAGAGACGTTGAAAAAAAATCTCTTTTAATCTGTTTGAACTAATTTTCAGGCATGACGATTTGAAACAAATGCTGGATAGCAACAAGGACGGCTTAAAATTGGAAGCTATGAAACGAATTATTGGAGTAAGAATAAATGCATATAAAATAATTATGATTTGCCATAATTGTGTATTGTGTATTTAAAATCACTCGTTACCGGTATACTTTTATAGTCTTTTATATGGATGTAAAAAAAACACTTGCATTGTTCCAGATGGTTGCAAAGGGCAGAGATGCATCCGACCTCTTTCCAGCGGTGGTAAAGAACGTAGTATCAAAAAATATAGAAGTAAAAAAACTCGTTTACGTATATTTGGTTCGATACGCCGAGGACCAACAGGATTTGGCACTCCTCTCAATTTCAACATTTCAAAGAGCCCTAAAAGATCCAAATCAATTGATAAGAGCCAGTGCATTGAGAGTTCTATCCAGTATACGAGTACCAATGATAGTTCCTATTGTGATGCTGGCAATAAAAGACTCTGCAAGTGATATGTCTCCTTATGTGAGAAAAACAGCAGCCCATGCCATTCCGAAACTTTATTCACTCGACCCGGAGCAGAAAGATGAATTGATCAGTGTTATAGAGAAATTACTATCTGACAAGACGACGCTGGTGGTAGGGTCAGCTGTGATGGCATTTGAGGAAGTTTGCCCAGGGAGAATTGATTTGATTCACAAGAATTATCGTAAATTGTGTAATTTGTTGGTGGATGTTGATGAATGGGGCCAGGTGGTCATTGTAAATATGTTGACAAGATATGCGAGAACACAATTCGTTAATCCTAATGTTGATGAGATTGAGGAGGATGAAAATAAACCGTTCTACGAGTCTGACTCTGAAGAATCGGTCGATGTTGATAATAAAAAAACTAAATTTTCTCTTGATATTGATCATCGTTTGTTGTTGAGAAATACCAAACCATTGTTGCAGAGTCGAAATGCATCAGTTGTTATGAGTGTTGCACAGTTGTATCACCATGTTGCGCCTAGAACTGAAGTTATGATTGCCGCTAAAGCCTTAATAAGGCTTTTAAGAAATCATCGAGAAGTACAGAGCATCGTCCTTCACTGCGTTGCTAGCATATCAATTTCGAGGAAAGGAATGTTCGAACCTTTTCTCAAGTCGTTTTTCGTCAGAACCTCCGATCCTACACATATTAAACTTCTCAAGCTGGATATTTTGACAAACTTGGCCACTGAGGCGAGTATTGGAGTGATTTTGAGGGAGTTCCAAACGTACATTTCGAGCACTGATAAGGAATTCGTTGGGGCTAGTATACAGGCTATTGGACGATGTGCCAGTAATATTAAAGAAGTTACGGACACTTGCCTCAGTGGATTAGTCTCTTTATTGAGTAATCGTGATGGTGAGTTGTTTTTTTCTTTTGTAATTGTTAAAAACTAATCCCTGAAAAAATATTTGACAAACTATTTCTATGCTATGGCTCAACGAAAGTTATGACTCACGGTAATTAAAAGGCCATTGACATCAATTTTTGGCATCAGTGATGATGACTGAAAAATTTGTTTTCGGAAAAATGTCAATATTTGTGGAAGTCGATGATAAATCAAAATTCAAATAATGTCAATGGATGCATTCCATATTCACCCTTTTGATACCATACTTAATTATCCTAATACAAAAAATTGGAAATTCGGATGTGAACGATTACAATGTTTACAATCAAACTCTATCTTTTCAATTGAGGATAATAAATATCTCAACGCTCATAAAAACAAGTGGGAAATTGCTCCTGTATTGCGTATAGTATAATTTTTTTTTGCTAATAAATTAGCAATATGCTTCCGAATGGTCATTTTGCTCATTTTTTTACATTGTATATTATTCATAGTCTATTTTATTTTCTTGAATTGAATTAATTTCTTTCCCATTCCACACCTATTCTCTTTTGTAATTTCTGTCTGGGTTTTTTAAAGAGAATAAATATAGGTTATGAGCCCCAGATAACTAAAATCTCAGTTTCTTCTAACCGATATTTCAGCTGTTCATAACAGGTTTGCAAATGTTCTCCTGTCATGCTTAATTTTTAATAAAATTATAAAATATATATTTATATCACGAGTTTATTCATTCAAAGTCAGATCGAAATAATTCTTTTTCTGTACTGCTTCTCACGATTTCTCGTCTGGGAATTGGTATTACATACTTCCCAAACTCGAAAACTTGAAAATCACTACAGAAAAATATTGTTCCTGGGCTGTTGCAATGGGGTTTTTTTTCTCGTGTGGTTGGCCAGTCCTCGCCTACGGCTCGGAGGCCAACGCCACACGAGTAAAAAACCCCATCGCAACAGGCCGGAAAAATACTATTTAATGATAATTGAATCAATTTGAACCTTTTTTTTCGATTTGAATAATTAGTGAAAGTGAATTTTCCACAAAGATGAAAATTGTTTCATCGTTCTTTGATTGTTTTATCAAAAAATATCTCAACTATCTGAAAATTTCGATGAAATTTTATAAGGGATATATTTTATTCATTCATAATTGAATGCATTCGAAACATCACGTTTAAAGGAACCATTCATGAAAAATTCGAAATTTCCAAAAATTATCCTAAAAATCAAATTAACCAAGACAGTTATTGTAACCAGTTTTTAACTTCGACACAATCGCATTGAAACAAACATATTGAGCTATGATTTAATTCATTTGAAGCACAATATCTAGAGATATCTGCGGAATTCTGATTTTCGAAAAATACTAAATTTTGGAAAAATTTCACAGAAATCAAAATAACGATTATGGTTATCGTTTTCATCTTCGAACTCGGTCAAAAAGACATACCAACGAATTTGTTAAGCCGTCATTCAATGAATTTAGAACATTTTTTTTAGTTATCGTGTTACAACTAAATTTTGAAAAAAAATAAAAATTAAAAAAATTAATCAATGAATTAAATTTTAATTAATGGCAATGGATAGGGCTTAGCAATACCTTCATTTAAGAAAAAAATGATTCAATTCCAAAGATTCATTAGCAAGAAATTGACGAAAAACTTTGTCACATACATACATACATACATACATACATACATACATACATACATACATACATATAAAGAATGCATTTTCTAATTTTTTTGGATCATAATGAGTCGATATAACACAAAAACTCCGAAACTTAAATTTGAACGATTACAATCCTTCCATTCGGAAGCAAAAAAACGACATACTCTCGATCGACTTGTAAAATATTGATCAAGAATAATTTAATTTTTTTCATTAGTTTTTTTTACATCATTACTCATTTTTGCTTCCGAATGGAAGCTTTGTAATCGTCCGATTTTTACATTCTCTAATTTTCATTGGAAATGATTTAGAATGGTCTGAAACGTAAAAATACGAAGTTTGGCGAAATGATGTTTTTAGGGGGGTGTCTGTATGTTGTGTGTGCAGATTCGGGTTTTTGGTGATTCAATTTTAGAAAATTCAACGTAAATACGGTGAAATTTGCAGCTAAAAATTTGAAATTTCGGCTCATGATAGCTATGAATGAGCCTCACTTTGGTGCTTCGTTTCAGCTCGATCGGTCAAGTAGTTCCCGAGATATAATCACTTGTTTAAATTTCGTTTTTCCGCAATATCTCGCCAACAACTGCACCGATTTCAATTTTTTTTTTTTCGAACTACTCGTCTCGATGGCCTCTATCTAGATCACTCATATCATGTATACCGATTTGTGCAAAGTTTGGAGATATTGCCGTTTATCCGTTTTTTCATAAAAAACCTTGTACGCAAGATAAGTCAATGAAAAAATGAGCTAGCGACTTGAAATTCGGTATGCTGCTAGCTTTTGTAACATAGACGGTTTTTATTTTCGATGAGGTCAATCGGTCGAGCGGTTCGCGAGATATTCAATTTTTTGTGAAAATCTATTCTGTCAAATATCTCGTCAACTACTTGACCGATTAAAAATTTTCTTTCTTCAAAATATCCGTCTCGATCGCTACTATCTAGATCATTGAAAATATATATACCCGTCCATACAAACTTTTGGAGATATTCTCGTTTTTCTTTTTTTTTTTGTTTTCTCATTCTTGTGCGGTTGATAACTTGTGACGGAAAAACGATATTAAGTTGAAATATGGTATATATATCTCTCTCATAATACCAAAGGTCCGTACTTTAAATGGGTGCATCGGCACTATGGAATACCATCTGGAATGAGGATTACTTTTGTGAATTTGAATGGGAAGTAACGTCATCATTAGAAATTACTACGTTTTGGGCGATACAGATGAAATCACAAGAATCTATTGAATCAGAGTAGAACAACAGACTTTTATTGACAAGGGAAGTGAGAAAATGAAAGGATTATCTACGTGGAAATTGACAATAAAAGATTGTTGATTCAATATTGGATTTCGTTGGTGAATGTCATTGAATGGTGATGAATGAAACGGTCGTTTATATTTCCATATACTTCCCTTCGGAAGCTTACTACCAATGAAATTGGTAGGAAAAAAAAAGGAGAAAAGTATAATAAGAAAAAAAGTAATGGTCATTTGCCTTCTGTCGGATAGGAGTTCTACCCCTGCTTGTTTCATTAAAATCCTTGTACGCGTGCTAACGTGTGCAAAAATCGAGATATCCACTTGTTTTTTGTTAATTCAAGGACTTTGAGAAATACTTCTTTTAGGGTGTTCATTCAAAACTGCAAGGACTCAAAGACTTTGATTTTGACGATTTTCTAATTTTGCCTGGGAATGACGTAGAATGTCATAAAACGTGAAGACAAGACGTTTTTAGAAAATGTGTGCATGTGTGTCCGGATGTGTGTGCGAATTTTTCAGAAAATTTTTATAAATATTCACAAGCAGGGAAACAAGCAGGGGCCGAGCCTTCCTGTCAGAAGGCATGTGACTGTTACTTGATGCTTTATTTGGCTTTTTTATTTTTGTACTAGGGGGCTTCGCCCCCTGCTCGCTTCGCTCGCCAACCCCGGGGGGCTTCGCCCCCCCGCTCGCTTCGCTCGCTCCCCCCCCATCCAACTGTTAGAGATTAGGAAGTCAAGGAGAGCCTATAATTCTTTATTTCACAACAATAACAACATAACAACAATTCAACATTTTGTCATGAACTGTATAGCTATATACGGCTTTATTGGAATATACACGGCTTTATATTAAAATATGGAATCAAATTCATGAATGCGAACCTATTAAGAATAACTAAAATGGTAGTTATGAGAGGTAACTACGATTATCAGTTATCTACTCCTCTCTCCTCTTCTACTTCCCCCACCGCGTTTGACCCTGGGACACCCTCCTCCCTTCTAACCCCCCCGACNACCCCCCCCCCACCTTTAGGCGTCCCCTGAATTTTTGCGTCGCCTGACTTTTGGCGTCGCCTGAATTTTTGCGTCGCCTGAATTGTCTTAAATTTTGCCCTTATTTTTTTATTATATAGAGAGATTTCTACCAATTCCATTGGTAGTAAGTTTCTGAATCGATCCGCAGATACTTTAAGGTACTTCCGCAGTAGTCATATGGGAGTAGAAGGCAATGTGCTACAGGGTTGGAATTTTGAGAATATATTCTTTCAATAAATTAGAAAGTTGTCCCGAAAATCCCAACACGATTTACCACATTGATTTTTGTAGAGAAAAAAATTTAAATTGTTATTTGTACAGAGCCTTATGAGACACATTTCAATGGGGAATGACGACCATGGACTGCTAAGAATCCAAATACTTGATTTATCGCATCGTACATGTTTCCAAAATACATTCCTGCAATTTCATTATTCATGACCACAGGAATCATGAGTTGTTATTCAAAATGTGCATCAACATCATGATGTTTTTGGGGGTTATACATTGGAGGATAGGAGGTAAAAACGAGGTTAGAGTGCACAATCTTTATCCCCACTCCTATGTTTTTTGAGCTTACTGCAGAAGTACCTTAATTGAAAAGTGGCAAGTTTTATTGAAAACGTTTCCTCAAAATGTTGGACCTTCTAAAATTGAGAAATCAATTTCGATTGTATACAGTGGGATAGGCATATCTAAACGACTCCAGTTTTAAGAAATGCTTCCATGTGAAAATCAATGATAGAAAGACGATATGTTATTTTATGTGAAAAACGTTTTTTTACATCAAATGCAGTCTGAAATTTTACACAGGAGTGCAACTCGATGATACTAATGAGTCCGCAACATTTTGGAACTTTACCACATCCTTCACTCACTTCGCGAAGCGCCCGTTCGCTAGATTATATTATATTATATTAATTTATTTTATTGTTTTCTTTCCAATTTTTCCTTGCGGTTAGATTAAATTAAATTTATTGGATTCTATTCCCATTGTAGTATACTACTTGTGGGAACAGTTTTTCTCAATTTCAAATGAAAAGATATTTATGTTGAATAATAAGGAGAGTATTGATACTTTTTTTGGGATGATGATCTATATACTTTTTACAATTACATCATTGTTCAGAAATTTCTTCATGTACTACATTTTTCATATAACTATTTCCGTCTTCTTAATTTTTTATTTCACCTCCTTCAGTCATGCATATTTTCAATTTTTCACTTGCTCTCACTTTTGACAATGCCACGTATAATTGACCATGACTGAATACGTTACTTTTAAGATACACACCTACTCTTTCTTATGTCTGTCCGTTGAAATTTTTCAATGCACCCATAAAATTTTGGAATTGATCATATTTTTTTTTCCTTAAATCAAGACGTACCAATTTTCTTTAAAATGTCAATGAATATGAAAATTTTTCATCTCTTTAATCTCATTTCAATGAAATGGAATAAGGAAAATGCAAAGTAAGATGATCAGCAAGAAAATAAAAATATCAATTGTGCAATGTCTCCGAAAAATGTTCTAATTGAGTTTTTTTCCTTCAATAATGTAGGAAGATTAATATTTTTCGTTTTCATGATCTGATTTCATTGAGAGGAAATGAGAAAAAAACAGGGGGAGATGGTCAGTAAGAAAATAAAAAAAAACAATTTTTTAATGTTCTGAAAAATTTCAAAAAACTGATTTTTTTTCAATGACAAAAAAATATCAATATGTTCCCTTTCTATGATCTAATTTCAATGGAAGGAAGTGAAAAAAAACAGAGATACGTGATCAGCGAGAAAATGAAAATTTCGATTTTTCAATGTGACGTATTGGGATCGATCAATACGTCGATCTAGTTAGTAATTATATAAAATAATAATACAATGCTGGATGGTGGGAACGAGAAATATGATTTCTCTTTCCTGTCATCCAGACACTGGTCAGCAATCCCACGGTGTCATTTGGACACCATGGTAAGCAGTCCCACGGTTTTTCAGGAGTCCAGTTCAGAACGATAACTGTTTGACTGTTTGAGTCTCTGTCAATGATGACACGAGACAGTGTTAGTGGAGAAAACCGCGAGACTGCTTAGCTCAGCGAATTGGGGCTTTGCCAAGTTTTGAGGACTCTGGAAGCACCAGAGTACGATCGGGAGCGAAGTGGAGCGGATCTCCAAGCTCATAAGTCTAAGTCCGATCTCTTAGCAATGCGTAACCGAACCCAAGTCGAAACCCTGTCGTGTATTTTAGTCAATAATTATGAATAATACATCTATAGCTTTTACCAGATAAATACACCTGTTTACAATTACATACGTTCCCAATCCTTCATAACCATCCCCGAGTGAGCGAACCTTCCCGTGAGCTCACCGCCGAAGTTAGCCGAGGTCGGAGTAACAACCAAGGACCAAAGGATTACAGTGCAGGAATAAAATAGTGCAAAGTGTAAGGCAAAGTGTAATAGTAAGAAGGGTAAAATCTTTACCTGAGTTTTACCTCCGGGTAAAACTAATCACGTCACATTAATGTCTCCGGAAAGTTTTAAAATTGATATAGTTTTTCAAATAATGGAAGAATACCTATCAATTCAATTTCTATCCTCACATTTTGATAGAATACATTAAAAAAATAGCAAAGAATAAAAATCGGAGATGAAAAATTTTATCGGATTAATATAATGCAATGTAATGGAAAGTCAAAGCAACTTTCAGGCAAGAAAAATAGAAAAACGCCAATGTCTCGTGAACTTTGTAGGAACGGATATATATATATATATATATATATATATATATATATATATATATATTTTTTTTTTGAAAGAACTAGATAGGAGACATCAAGACGAATATTTTGAAAAAAACTTGAAATCGAATGAATAGTTTTTGCTTCCAAATGGAAGCATGAAATTCGTCGGATTTTGTCATTCTCTAATTTTGCCTGGAAATGATGTAGAATGGTATGAAACGTGAAGAAATGAGGTTTTTAGAAAATATCTGTATGTCCAGGTCTGATAGTTCGGTTTTTGGGTTACCACTTTTTAGAAAATATAACATTAATACGGGAAAATTCATTGATATGGACGTGAAATTTTGACCCATACTAGGTACTATTAAGCTCAAGTTTGATGCACAATTACAGTCCGATCGGTCTAGTAGTTCCTGAGATATTCAACTTTTTGTATAAAACTATATGGGTCAATATCTCAAAAACTACTTGTTTTAAATTCATTTTATGGAAATAGGAGAAAATGAGACAAAGCTTAGATGACCGCCGCCGCATCCTACCCGTCTGACCACTACTGTTTCTCATATTTATTTATGCTATTTATTTTAATTTCATATTCATTTCAATTAATCAACTCCGTATAAGCGATTTTACATTTTTGGTGTTCTCTAAATTCTTTGTTCGCACAATAACTTGAGGAAAAATTGAGATGGGAATGTGAAGTGAGAAAATAGTTTCTCCTATAAATTGAAAAATGGAATTGCTATGGATCCATTCCGAAGCTTACTACCAATGGAATTGGTAGAAATAAAAAATTAGAATATAACACATAAAGTAACAGTCACATGCCTTCTGCAATATAGGAGCGGTCAACTTCTTGTTTTCTATCCCACTGAAATGATTGTAACAGCAATAGAGATATTTATTCGGGTATCTAAAAGTGAAATGCGTGGATGGACGGGCAACTCTATGCGTTAGAAGATGTTTTTGTAGTCCATATAAGCCTCCGCAAGAAGTTCTCCTGATGAATTTTATCATTCTTAATGATTGCACTGCTGTATCGATCCACTAATAGTATCAGACTATCAATCTCTTGATCGATTTTTTAGGCAATCCAATTCTAATTATTGTTTTTTTTTCAACTCCCTAGAAGTGGTGGTGGCCGAGAGTGTAGTCGTAATAAAGAAACTTCTGCAGACCCAACCCAACGAACACAAGGAAATAATAGTTCACATGGCAAAATTAATGGATTTCATCACTGTCCCCCAGGCGCGAGCCTCCATTCTCTGGCTCCTCGGTGAATACTCAGACAGAGTGCCAAAAATTGCTCCCGACGTTCTTCGAAAAATGGCAAAGAGCTTCGTAAATGAAAAAGATATCGTGAAACTTCAAACTCTCAATCTTGCTGTGAAACTGTGCCTCAATAATCCAGAACAAACAAAATTATTCTGTCAATATGTATTCCAACTGGCCAAGTACGACCAAAACTACGACATAAGAGATAGAGCCCGATTTCTACGTTCGTTTATATTCGAGGAGAATGGTAATACCGACAAAAAGCTTCCAGAACACGCAAAGAGGATTTTCTTCACCCCTAAACCAGCCCCGACGTTGACATCCCGAGTCAAAGGCTCCCAGTATCAACTGGGAACACTCTCACATTACTTGGACATGTCCTGTTCAGGCTATAAACCACTCCCAGATTACCCTGAAGTTCCACCAGATCCATCAGTGCGTGACGTAGCAGAGCCAATACCAACTCAAGAGCCAAGAGAGAAATGTCATGGGCGAAAAGATAAAAAGGAGAAGAAAATCAAGGAAAAAGCTTTCTACAGTGATGAAGAAAGTTCTCCAGCGGAATCAGAAGAGTCGGAGGGATCTTCTGAGACATCCTCGAGTGAATCTTCAGAGAATTCAGATTCAGATTCTGCAGAATCTAGTTCAGATGGTGAAAAATCGGAGGAAAAGACTCAGAGAAAGAAAAACGTCAAGTCTGAAACGTCAGAGAGTCAATCAGAGAGCGAAGAGTTAGATTCTGAGGAGAGTGGGTCTTCTCGAAGTGAACCTGAATTAAAGAAGCCTAGTGTTAAAATTAAGAACGAAACTGTCAAGGAAAAGGCGAAGAATAATTTAGATCTACTTCTAGAGCTTGATGACATTGTGCCCATGACACCAATGATGACCCCGAGTCTTGGAGGCTTCCTTACGCCAATGAATTTTCCTATAGGCAATGTTAATGGAATCAGAGAGGTCTCAGCTACTTTCATACCAGTTGAGAGAACAGAAATTGTTAATAAAATCACTGGGAAGGGTTTGAAAGTTGAATCGAGGTTTACTAGATCCCAACATCTTGTTAGCTCGAATCTCACCAGTGTCGAGCTGACCTTTACAAATTGTGGTAATCATACCATCAATAATATTCGTGTTGGGAATAAGAATTTATCGTCTGGAATGTCCATGCACGATTTTTCAACGATTCCTACGCTTCAACCAAATATGAATTGTTCTTCTGTACTTGGAGTGAATTTCAATGATTCTATGCAGCCTGCTAACTTCAACATTGAGTTCATCATAGATGACGAGATACATTCAGTTCCTGTTAGTTTGAAGGCACCAATTGGGGAGATTGTTAGGGCTGTCAAATTACCAGAAAATATGTTCATCGCTGAGAAAGAAAAATTAAAAGGCATGAATGAACATTGTTCAAAGATCAAGTTTTCAGGGACGAAGAAACATTTGCTGCAGAAAATTTATCAGGCTGCCAATATTTCCCTAGTTTTGGACGAATGTGATATAATGAGGTAATTAGTAAAAGAATATGTCAATTTCTTTTTCAAGGAATAAGTGATTCAAATTTTCAGAAACATCTGTTAATCTTCTCGTAATAATTCGGAATGATTTCTACATTTTCGAAGTTGTTTTTGGAAATCTCATAAGTTTCATTACTTTCTATATACCCATTTATTTTGGAGATATTGAGTATTAAAGTACCGTCTTGTATATTTTGGCAGTTAATGTGCCTTCCGTAATGTGAAATTTAAAAAGCAATTCGACACTTGATCGAGTTAGGCGATAACGTAACTGCCAAGGAAAAGTTTAAAATTCGAGCGCTATTATCTTCTAGTTTATCTACACGATTTTCATTATTGAACCAAAAAATCGATAGTATCCAGATACATGGGATATTCTTCAAATTTCCAATTATTGTTACAATTTGATGACTTCATCAACGAATCAACGAATTCATGCTTATAGTAACTCTCACAGACTTGAAATTATGAAATATGAATTATTCATATATTTTGTTGCAGATTCGCTGGTCGCACGGTAACATCGAAATCCATGACCTTGATAACGATAAAATTCCTAGATTCCCAGGAGTTGGAGGTATGTATTAACTGTGAAAAAATGGTCATAGGCTCAATGTTGTTGAACGAAATCAAGAGTAACTTGCTGCAATAAAAATGCAATTTAAATTTTTTTCAAAGAGTAATTTTTTGTTTTTAAAGAGTTTTTAAAGAGCCTCCAGTCCATCTCTCATTTCACTGAAATTTTACATATTGGAAAGGACTGTATATTACATACAGAAAAAATACTCTATAATATTACAACATTATGAAAATTATTTTTTTCTAATAAATTCATAAAATCAATTAATTAGCTTTGTAACTGTTTTCTCAATGTAAACCATATCAATTTCATGGATCCCTCAATTCCACCATTCTCGACCTCCCAGAAATGAAGACGATAGTCTTTATGCTTCATTAGAAAACGCCTTATTACTGAAAAAATAAATAATCATTAATTATTATAATGAGAGATTGTGTTAGATATCACCTTGGAGCATCCCATGGGATATTGGTTTGGAAAATCCAATATCTTGGTTTTGATAACGCTTCACTGCATCGTATAAAATTTCCATCCCTAATCCTTGATTCCGATGCTGGGAACGAACATATGCCGTGTCAACAGTATTCATAGAGTATTTGAAGTTAGCGTTGAAGATTTCAGTACCTATCAATTAAATAAATCATCTTCGTCGATTATTTGGTAATATCAATAAGACGCAGAATAATATTGTTACTTGCCCCTGTCATTTCAGATTCTACATTTGTGAAGGGAAATAATGTACATCATCTGCAGATAAATGGCACTCTTAATGATTAAAGACCCTAACATTAGCCAATAATACCATTTTTTAGAAAAAAAAAAATGTCTAGCTCGTATTACCCAGAAAAGTTTTTTTTCACTCTGACGAAACGTACTATTATATACTTACTACATAAAATCATTATAACACAATATCAAAAAATTCGCCTGGTTTGTTGGTCACTCGCTCTCCTTGCGGGTGGGTTGAAGTGGGTATGACCCATTACAGGTTGAATTAATAACTTCCCGACCAATTCCCATTTTTCTGTTCATTAGAAAGAAAAAACGCAATTTTTTAGATTTCCATCCCGATAACAAGAAAACGGCTAAGACGATTTTGCTCAGAATCCAATCGAAATCGCATTACATGTAGATGCATCGACTGTAGTAAAAAAATCAAAACCCATCATTATTCTTGGTAAAAATTTTGAATTTTCAAAGAAAACTTATAGCGCTTTGCTTGACATGGTTTTTTTCAACTTAAGTGGCCATGTGACTTCGACAGCGGTTACCGACCGAGTGAAAAATTTCAAACCAATTTTTTCTTAGGGTGAAACGATAATTATCAAAAAATCAAATTCTTACGCCCTTTATAACAATGTTATACAGGGTGTAAGAATTCGTATTTTCCAAAATAATCTTTTCACCCTAAGAAAAAATTGGTTTGAAATTTTTCACTCGGTCGGTAACCGCTGTCGAAGTCACATGGCCACTTAAGTTGAAAAAAACCATGTCAAGCAAAGCGCTATAAGTTTTCTTTGAAAATTCAAAATTTTTACCAAGAATAATGATGGGTTTTGATTTTTTTACTACAGTCGATGCATCTACATGTAATGCGATTTCGATTGGATTCTGAGCAAAATCGTCTTAGCCGTTTTCTTGTTATCGGGATGGAAATCTAAAAAATTGCGTTTTTTCTTTCTAATGAACAGAAAAATGGGAATTGGTCGGGAAGTTATTAATTCAACCTGTAATGGGTCATACCCACTTCAACCCACCCGCAAGGAGAGCGAGTGACCAACAAACCAGGCGAATTTTTTGATATTGTGTTATAATGATTTTATGTAGTAAGTATATAATAGTACGTTTCGTCAGAGTGAAAAAAAACTTTTCTGGGTAATACGAGCTAGACATTTTTTTTTTTCTAAAAAATGGTATTATTGGCTAATGTTAGGGTCTTTAATCATTAAGAGTGCCATTTATCTGCAGATGATGTACATTATTTCCCTTCACAAATGTAGAATCTGAAATGACAGGGGCAAGTAACAATATTATTCTGCGTCTTATTGATATTACCAAATAATCGACGAAGATGATTTATTTAATTGATAGGTACTGAAATCTTCAACGCTAACTTCAAATACTCTATGAATACTGTTGACACGGCATATGTTCGTTCCCAGCATCGGAATCAAGGATTAGGGATGGAAATTTTATACGATGCAGTGAAGCGTTATCAAAACCAAGATATTGGATTTTCCAAACCAATATCCCATGGGATGCTCCAAGGTGATATCTAACACAATCTCTCATTATAATAATTAATGATTATTTATTTTTTCAGTAATAAGGCGTTTTCTAATGAAGCATAAAGACTATCGTCTTCATTTCTGGGAGGTCGAGAATGGTGGAATTGAGGGATCCATGAAATTGATATGGTTTACATTGAGAAAACAGTTACAAAGCTAATTAATTGATTTTATGAATTTATTAGAAAAAAATAATTTTCATAATGTTGTAATATTATAGAGTATTTTTTCTGTATGTAATATACAGTCCTTTCCAATATGTAAAATTTCAGTGAAATGAGAGATGGACTGGAGGCTCTTTAAAAACTCTTTAAAAACAAAAAATTACTCTTTGAAAAAAATTTAAATTGCATTTTTATTGCAGCAAGTTACTCTTGATTTCGTTCAACAACATTGAGCCTATGACCATTTTTTCACAGTTAATACATACCTCCAACTCCTGGGAATCTAGGAATTTTATCGTTATCAAGGTCATGGATTTCGATGTTACCGTGCGACCAGCGAATCTGCAACAAAATATATGAATAATTCATATTTCATAATTTCAAGTCTGTGAGAGTTACTATAAGCATGAATTCGTTGATTCGTTGATGAAGTCATCAAATTGTAACAATAATTGGAAATTTGAAGAATATCCCATGTATCTGGATACTATCGATTTTTTGGTTCAATAATGAAAATCGTGTAGATAAACTAGAAGATAATAGCGCTCGAATTTTAAACTTTTCCTTGGCAGTTACGTTATCGCCTAACTCGATCAAGTGTCGAATTGCTTTTTAAATTTCACATTACGGAAGGCACATTAACTGCCAAAATATACAAGACGGTACTTTAATACTCAATATCTCCAAAATAAATGGGTATATAGAAAGTAATGAAACTTATGAGATTTCCAAAAACAACTTCGAAAATGTAGAAATCATTCCGAATTATTACGAGAAGATTAACAGATGTTTCTGAAAATTTGAATCACTTATTCCTTGAAAAAGAAATTGACATATTCTTTTACTAATTACCTCATTATATCACATTCGTCCAAAACTAGGGAAATATTGGCAGCCTGATAAATTTTCTGCAGCAAATGTTTCTTCGTCCCTGAAAACTTGATCTTTGAACAATGTTCATTCATGCCTTTTAATTTTTCTTTCTCAGCGATGAACATATTTTCTGGTAATTTGACAGCCCTAACAATCTCCCCAATTGGTGCCTTCAAACTAACAGGAACTGAATGTATCTCGTCATCTATGATGAACTCAATGTTGAAGTTAGCAGGCTGCATAGAATCATTGAAATTCACTCCAAGTACAGAAGAACAATTCATATTTGGTTGAAGCGTAGGAATCGTTGAAAAATCGTGCATGGACATTCCAGACGATAAATTCTTATTCCCAACACGAATATTATTGATGGTATGATTACCACAATTTGTAAAGGTCAGCTCGACACTGGTGAGATTCGAGCTAACAAGATGTTGGGATCTAGTAAACCTCGATTCAACTTTCAAACCCTTCCCAGTGATTTTATTAACAATTTCTGTTCTCTCAACTGGTATGAAAGTAGCTGAGACCTCTCTGATTCCATTAACATTGCCTATAGGAAAATTCATTGGCGTAAGGAAGCCTCCAAGACTCGGGGTCATCATTGGTGTCATGGGCACAATGTCATCAAGCTCTAGAAGTAGATCTAAATTATTCTTCGCCTTTTCCTTGACAGTTTCGTTCTTAATTTTAACACTAGGCTTCTTTAATTCAGGTTCACTTCGAGAAGACCCACTCTCCTCAGAATCTAACTCTTCGCTCTCTGATTGACTCTCTGACGTTTCAGACTTGACGTTTTTCTTTCTCTGAGTCTTTTCCTCCGATTTTTCACCATCTGAACTAGATTCTGCAGAATCTGAATCTGAATTCTCTGAAGATTCACTCGAGGATGTCTCAGAAGATCCCTCCGACTCTTCTGATTCCGCTGGAGAACTTTCTTCATCACTGTAGAAAGCTTTTTCCTTGATTTTCTTCTCCTTTTTATCTTTTCGCCCATGACATTTCTCTCTTGGCTCTTGAGTTGGTATTGGCTCTGCTACGTCACGCACTGATGGATCTGGTGGAACTTCAGGGTAATCTGGGAGTGGTTTATAGCCTGAACAGGACATGTCCAAGTAATGTGAGAGTGTTCCCAGTTGATACTGGGAGCCTTTGACTCGGGATGTCAACGTCGGGGCTGGTTTAGGGGTGAAGAAAATCCTCTTTGCGTGTTCTGGAAGCTTTTTGTCGGTATTACCATTCTCCTCGAATATAAACGAACGTAGAAATCGGGCTCTATCTCTTATGTCGTAGTTTTGGTCGTACTTGGCCAGTTGGAATACATATTGACAGAATAATTTTGTTTGTTCTGGATTATTGAGGCACAGTTTCACAGCAAGATTGAGAGTTTGAAGTTTCACGATATCTTTTTCATTTACGAAGCTCTTTGCCATTTTTCGAAGAACGTCGGGAGCAATTTTTGGCACTCTGTCTGAGTATTCACCGAGGAGCCAGAGAATGGAGGCTCGCGCCTGGGGGACAGTGATGAAATCCATTAATTTTGCCATGTGAACTATTATTTCCTTGTGTTCGTTGGGTTGGGTCTGCAGAAGTTTCTTTATTACGACTACACTCTCGGCCACCACCACTTCTAGGGAGTTGAAAAAAAAACAATAATTAGAATTGGATTGCCTAAAAAATCGATCAAGAGATTGATAGTCTGATACTATTAGTGGATCGATACAGCAGTGCAATCATTAAGAATGATAAAATTCATCAGGAGAACTTCTTGCGGAGGCTTATATGGACTACAAAAACATCTTCTAACGCATAGAGTTGCCCGTCCATCCACGCATTTCACTTTTAGATACCCGAATAAATATCTCTATTGCTGTTACAATCATTTCAGTGGGATAGAAAACAAGAAGTTGACCGCTCCTATATTGCAGAAGGCATGTGACTGTTACTTTATGTGTTATATTCTAATTTTTTATTTCTACCAATTCCATTGGTAGTAAGCTTCGGAATGGATCCATAGCAATTCCATTTTTCNCCCTTTTGGGCACATGATTTGGGCTCAAACTCATCTTTCGAACCCCTCCGCTCACGGTGTAGAAATTTCTACCTCCCAGATACGTGTGGGGTTGGCTTTCACCCCCTCAAAGTCCCTAATTTTCCCAAAATCCATGCGAACTGAGAGCAAAAAAAAAAAAACTCAATTTCCTTTTGGAGACATGATTTTGACTCAGACTTGTTCCTCAACGCCCTCCCCTCATTTAGTGGAAATATCAACTTCCCCCGATTCGAAACAGGGTGGCTTTTACCCCCACGAAATGCCTAATTTCCCAAAATCCATACGAACCGAGAGCAAAAAATAAGAAATGAAACTCTCAATCCCCCTCTCGAGACAAGATTACGGCTCAGACTTGTTCCTCACCCCCCTCCCCTCATTCAGTGAAAACATCAACTTCTCCGATTCGAACCAGGGTGGCTTTTACCTCCTCAAAGTGGCCAATTTTCCTAAATCCATGCGAACTGAAAGCAAAAAATGGAAAAAAAAATCCCATTCCCCCTTTGGAGACGGGATTTGGGCTCAGGCTTGTTCCTCAACCCCCTCCCCTCATTTAGTGAAAATGTCAACTCCCCGATTCGAACGGGGTTGGCTTTTACCCCCTAGAAGTG